GCGAATCTGAATGGGATACGGCGAATGACCAGACAGGGACTGCGTATTCTAACAGTGGTCGTACGTAACACTTGTAGAGCAAATTCACGGTTGAAGCAGAAAGTAAATGGGCCATATGGCGCAACAGAAAAACACGACTGCGAAACTTATGGGTGATAGATTTTATATGGTCAGAAAAATTTAGTGAAGGAGTGATAGTCACGCCGAGATGACAGTGGCTATCACCTTTCTGTCCTTCATGGTTAAATAGCACATTGGCTCCATGAGGCTGGCAACATCATAAGTGGCCGTACTGAGTCTCCAGCTTGAAGGGACCTGTGGTGACATAATCGTCATATTCGGGTGCTCAGCGATGGTAGAGATGACGCAGGATGCGAAGCCAATGGCTGCTTGGATGGTCATTTGAACTGGACATAGTTTATATCCGTAGATCTCAGGTATGTGTATGTCTGCCTCAGCTACTGCACAACATTGTTATGGACCTTGGGAGTGCACAGGACGTCTACGGCAAGACAAGGGTGAATAATGTACATGTAGGTCATCAAGTTCTTCCTCCACGGTGCAAACACGAAGACATCACGTATTCACTGATTTCCTTCTGCGCTAGGAAAGCAGTGTTACGAAATTGTATTGCGACTATGATTTACGCATGTTGTACAATAATATAATATATGTACAGTTATATTATAACTGTACATTTGTGTACAAAGAGGTGTCTTTTCGCCAGGGTAGAGGGCTCAACACGATGTGAAGCACTATATTTGATTGAGTAAGGAACTCAGAGTTGCAACAAACTCTAAGACCTCCTTGTACGCGTTGTGTATACTTCGTATATCTGTTCTGTATCTAGTTTATACTTGTACATTTACGCAAATGTCCTGGTAAGCATACCAAGTAAGGCAAACAGTGAAAGGTCACCGACAGCTGAGCAGGCTGGTAGTGTGCACCATTGGCTGCACCATCACGGGATTGGCACGGCAGGGCATGGGTGCTGCTTCAGCTCGTCTGCCAAACCCTTGTTGGTAATGAAAGCCTGGTACACGGTGGGTCTGGCACAAGCCACACGTGCATGCAGTGCCGGAGTATCTGCCATATCAGTACTAAACAGTACGAGACTGATCTGGTGGCTAGCTATGGTTGCTAGCTATAATATAAATGGATCCATATCAGAACAGTTTCCGCTGCGCCATGGGCGTCCGGTTAATTAACTGTATGTAGATACACGGTTCTCGAAGCATGATCACGGTGTCAGAGGTGGCTGATGCACCTCTGTGAGCAATGAAAAATAAGCATAAAATGGTTGCCATTTGTGCAGTGCCAACAATGTACTGTCACTCCTATTGCTCAAGCACCTTTTGTGATAGCAACCTCGAAGTGGTGAAGCACATAACACTTCACTGTTGCCATACCTCAGTCTGACCTTCGGTAGCTGGAGCAAGTACGGACGCGGGCGCTCCACGGCTATCTGCTGAGCGTAGTGCCAAGAGTGCCATGTCATGTACACTTGCCTTCATGTACGTTATGACTTGTGGTATACTGCCTTCCACTACTCAAGTTAGTGCCCACCTCGGGGACCGCGAGGGACCACCCCCCTTCTTGGTCTGGTCAGTCAATGCCTTGCACGGTTACTGCCGCATCCATAACTGGGATCAATGCATTGCCCATATAATATGTGCATATCAGCGTGGCCCTTTCCGTACAACGGCCGGTCCAAGTATCCATAATATCTGTGTTGTACTACTGTGGGTAGCATTTCATCGTACATAACGTGGAATATATACACACCCAGAATGTTCTTCCGCTTGACACAGGGATGCACATTTGATCCACAGCCCTTTGGTGCAGAAACATTTCCCGGTCAATACGGGATTCTGCTTGGTACAAGGGCAAGCGAACACAGGTAGAACTGTATTTGCGAAACAACACTATGAGTATGGCGGAACGGCATTACGTTATGGGCGTGGCTCTGGGCATGAAACAAAGCACTCGCCTGTGCTTACCAACCCAGGAGACCATCGTTCATCACCAATGGACTAATGGTTAGAGTGTGGCAAGGCCCTCGACAGGGCCTGCCCACTAGCGTGACGGAAGCCACCATATCTAAAATGACCGCACAGTCCACCAACATGGGTGGATGCGAGTTAGGCACAGACATTGGCAAGGCACTCGGCCGGGCCTGCTTTTCGTGAAATTGGCCTGACCACACAAGGAAGGCACAACTTGGAGCAAGAAACAAAGCACTCGCTGGTGCTTGCAATCCCACAAGCCCATCGTCCATGGATAGTTGATGGATGGATAGAGTGGTTAGAGTGCGGCAAGGCACGCGACAGGGCCTGCCCACTGTAGAGACCATCGTCCATCGACAGTGGACGGATGGTTAGAGTGTAGCAAGGCACGCGACAGGGCCTGCCCACTGGTCGACCATCGTCCATCCGTAGTGGATGGATGGTTAAAGTGGCTAGAGTCTGGCAAGGCACTCGACAGGGCCTGCCCATGGGTGAGACCTTCGCCCATCGACAGTGCACGGATGGTTTGAGTGTGGCAAGGCACGCGACAGGGCCTGCCCACGGGTGAGACCTTCGTCCATCGACAGTGGACGGATGGTTTGAGTGTGGCAAGGCACGCGACAGGGCCTGCCCACTGGCGTGACAGAAGCCGGACAGAAGCCGCCGCATATCCGCCATGTCCGCGTCGTCCATCGATGGGGTTGGATGCCAGTTATTTGTAGGTACAGAGGTTGGAAAGGCACTCGTCGGAAGCCGTCTGTTGATGTTGTTACGCGCTAGGTGCAGAGGTTGGCAAGGCACTCGACAGAGCCTGCTGAACTCGTGAAGGCCGCCCTGACCAAAACAGGGAAACCGTGACTCGGGGCATGAAACAAGGCACTCGTCGGCGCTTGCGAACCCACGGAACCATCGCAGCGTCACATCAGCATTGGCCGCCGAAAAGGCCGAAATTTCCATATCGGCACAAACTAGTTACTTCAGCACTTACCTACACGGACAGCTCGACGATCCGGTAGGAACTCTTACTAGTCCTAGGCCTGGACTGCAAGCTTCAGCTTTGGAGTCATCATTAGACAATAGACACTGCCATAGCGACAGTAGAAGACTGAAGTCTCGAGGATACTAGACAAAGGAAAAAGGTAACCTATCAGCAAAGAAGCGAAAGAAAAGGCCTAAGAAAGCAAGAGGTGCTAGGTGCAATAAAGGCGTGCATTTTCATTTTTATCTTTAAACCGCTGGAAATTTGTGGAAAACTAGAGCGATTTGAGGCCAAACACACTGTCACATTTGAAGCCGAAGCTCCGAAGTGTAATCGTAGTTCTACGTTTAGTATGAGCCCCAAACCGAAGGAAATAGTTGAGCGTGGTCTTGATGCCAAACTGGCGCACGGTAGTTACACTGTTGGAGAGGCTAGGGGCGTCCTCGAGGTGCTGTATGCTCTGAAAGGACGTGGAAGATGACGAGCAGGAAAGGAGCTTTCCAGTAAGCCATAAGTTGTGAAAATCCGTTGAGAAACAAAAATGTTGTGACAATTTGTTTGTTGCTATCTCCACAATTGTACTGATGCACTGAATCTCAGTGCCCAGACGTAGTAAATGCACTGTGACCCTGAAAGGGTTAACATTCAGTTTGTTCGGTCTTCTGGGACTCAAAGACAGACAGACACATGGAAAAGGTTCAATGTAATGTAACTAAAGAGGGGATTTGTCTACAAAAATGTAAGGACTCAAGGTCGCAGAGGGCATTTGATTGTGACTTTGTTTCATACCTATTTAACGTTACTTTCTTACTCATCAAAAACATCCCTGCTACCTTTCAAGATAAAAGTATCTCAACACTCCAGTTCAGCTTTGGTAAGGATATACATGTAGGACCAGGCTGAGGTGGCATGTTCCAGCGGCGGGTGGACATGACCTTTCTACAGATTAGTAAGGCATACTAAGGGGCCGAATGCCAAGTTTTTTTGCAATAGGGCAAAGTTTGAACGAGCCGCAACAAGACGAACCAAGAAAATGTGTTCCCTGGCGATCAACAAGTAACCGGGAGGCTCTTCAGGTGCCTTTTGATCTCCCATGGTCCCAGTATATGTGCGATGGGTGGGGAAATGAGAGCTTGCATCTCTACTTTCCAATGCACTTTGAATGGTGAAAATCCATTGAGTTTGAGAAAAGAGGTGAATGAAAGGGTGAGATGAAGTTGTGGGAATCTGACGCATCGTAGGGCAGCTTGGAGAGGACATGGAAGTAACCCTGACATGCTTATTGTGCTGAAAACGTTACGGATAGCTTCATTTGATCCTGATCTTTCAAACGAGCCATGGATCATGAAAATCCACCAAGGTGAAGTGAAATCGGGATTGAGCTGGTTGCGGCAGTGTATGCAAAACTAGTTCAAGTGTACAATTGCTCTAAAATCGCAGATAACTTGCTGGGGAATATGGCTCACATAGAAAGGGTTAATTGTGTAAAGGGGAAGTAATTTTCATCAACCACCACAGCATAACTGCACTCGCCAGCCGACCTCGACACGACGTTGCCACAGCACACCACCAGCAAAGCGACACATCTGTTGGTACTGAATTCCTTCATTCAGCTGTTTTGATTACAAAACTCTCATCAGTGAAGGTAGATATCGTAGAATGGCCAAACATAGTGAAAGTCACTCTGAAATTGAAAGACACTATGAAAATTTAGCCAAGACTCGAATGTTAAGCCAATATTGTAAGTAAAGAGAAAGGACCAGTAAGTTATGAGTTATGAAAGAACAGTCCACCAAAAAAAGGTCACGGCACGTGTTAGACTCGGCTGGAGGATAATGACTTTCGGTTTGCGACAGTTCGTTTTTGCTTGGCTTCCCCAGTTCTGTACTTAAGTAGGTAAAGCGAGTTTTATAAAGTGTCTCAGGTATGAACAAGTGTTATACACAGCTCTTGGCAGAAACCATAACTCTGCGTAAAGTATGGCACTGTCTGAGACGACATGATTGTATATCCGTTCTACTCTTGTTTTTGGCTGTAGATACACAAGCAGCTTCTATAGTGTGTGACTCACACATGTATACATACCATAGCATCTCATTCTCAGCAGATCATGCAAACCAGACGTGCTATCAACAATATGGTGGTCGGCCATTGTCTACAGACGGGCAGCAACTCAGCTGTGCCTCACAACTGCTGAACACATCGCAAGTCTTGCATGACAACAACATCAGCTACATACCGGTATATACCAACGTCACTAATGGGTCTCATTGCACTACCTACCAACCATCAACCAACACAGTAGGTCAAGACTCCTGCACCATGGCACGACCAACAATCTGCGTGTCTCGTAAGTGCCCCGCTCTGCTAGCATCAAGTGACGTACTCTATGTATGTGTGTGACAAATTCTGCTCAGGATTTCCACACACAGTGGACTGAGCAATCTCAGCAGTTGTTTTCTATCACATTGATCAGAGTAATAGTTTTTAGTCGTCCTTGAAACGAACATGGTTCATTTTGTACTCGGATCCCCTCCCCACCCTCTGAAATGAGCGCAGCTTGCTATGCTGGACGACGAAAATAGCATGTTAATTAATATGTATGAACATTGTCAGTCGACTTGAGATTTTAGCTGAAACCACTTGCCCTCAAATGAACGATGTTCGTTTCAGGGATGCCAAAAGACTATTTCACCAACCCCAAAGACAATACTATTGATTCTGTGTGTGTGTCCTCAAACAGATATCGTGGTCTGCTTTGCAACAACATCACTGACTGTAGAATTCGTCGATAGAAGCGTGGGCTTATCTGGCTGGGGCAGTGATGGGCCTTATCATGGACATGGCCTTTTATAGTACAAAGGCATGAAATTGTACTTCGAAGTACATGTATGCTTGTATTATTTTGACAAGAGATCAGGTAATCTAGAGTAGGCTAAAGCCAACATGCTTGCCTTGGTATGGCTCATCTTAGTACATATACAGGTCTACCGTCGTTAGTAAATAACCCCGCTAGTTTCAAATTCTTGTCTTATAACCAGTATTATCTACTATCCTGTCGTGAATGTACACACTTCAGGAGTCAGGGGATTTTTCAGGCGTCAGGGGATTTTTGACTGTTGTCTACTTATGAGGTTTGTCTAGTAGTTGATGTCGTACTGACGAGGGGAGACATGTAATGACAATAGTCGACTGGTCGATCCGATGCAGGGCGCGTCCCTACACCAACACCACCAAGCGGTGCGACCTGTGCCTAACAGAGAAGCTATACATCAGCAATGCAGACAAGGAAACGTCCCTCAACAAGCGCACAGAGCTGGTGTCAAAGTTCCGACACGAGTCAAAGTTCTACCTCTGCAATTCTATAACTTAGCGCCCTCCCCGAGTCAGTAGCACCCCGAGTTGGTGCCAACTCTCACCAAGCCAAAATGGCATGAGTAGCATCTTGCCTGTATTCTCCTTTGCCCCGCGGCCCGGTAGCGCCATGGCCGGTGTCATAATATCCCCACGCCACCCGCATAGTACTGCACTGATCACTTACACTGCCTTCATAATACTCCCATGCCACCCGCATAACACTATACTGATCGCTTATACTGCCTTCGCGCTGACACACTAGCATTGCATACCTGCCATGGGACAACACCTATAGTGAATAAGACCACACAACCCAGACTATAGCCCCAGTCTCCTGATGATTGCTTTTCAGCATGAAACTCGTGAGTAGAGATATTTTATCACTTTTTTGGTCCACCGGAATTTCGTGTGTAATGTTGTCAACCCAGACAGCAGTTTTTCCTGCAGTGTAATATGCTTCTCTGTTCATTGTTGCAGTTTAATGTGCCTCTCTGTTCATTGTTGCAGTTTAATGTGCTTCTGTGTTTATTATCACAGTCTACTGCAACGACAGCAACAACTTGGTAGCAGCACGTAATGAAGACCGGTGTATGTGTAGACCTGGTTATATCAGGACATCCGCACACAGATGTAAGTGATATGGTCCCATCCTAACACATTCTCATTCTGTTTGACTGACAAATTTCGAAGAGAATTGGTGAGCACACATGCTCATTCCCTGCGCACTGCAAATTCACAACTCATTTCATTTCACTGAACCATTTTTCAAAATTTCGAAGGATATGAAAACTTGTGCCTGACTGGTATACCTTGATTGCTTGATCCTGGTGTGTCCTGACTGACGTGAAAAATAGGCAAACTGGGGAGTAGTCACCGCGAGGTGGCCATGATGTTAACACTGGCGGAACAGTCCGGAAGATTTCAAATTTGACCTTGACGGAGAATTTCACTTTGTTACAAAATTAGCGGCCACATGCCCCGTACTGCTCTTTTTCTCTCCGAAACTCAACACTTGCAAGCCAGATATGAAAGAAAGAAAAATCATCAGTCACACCACCGGCACTCGAACCAGGGACCTTGCTCTTCGCGAGCAATGCGCTAACCAACTTTGTATTTGCTCGCTGTGGACATAGCTTGATGCGCTCCCCATGATATCAAGCGAATGGCCGAGGGCCCTCTTGATTGGTGTGAGTTGCCAGTATGTTGCAAGCCAGATATTGATTAATCGAAGAAGGATAGATTTACCATCACTGTGGATAAGAGTCATACTGTAGCTCAGTTGGTTAGCGCATTGCTCGTGAATAGCAAGGTCCCTGGTTCGAGTCACGGTGGTGTGACTGATGATTTTTTCTTTCTTTTATATCTGGCTTGCGAGTGTTGAGTTTCGGAGAGAAAATGAGCAGTACGGGGAATATGGCCTCTAGTTTCCTAACACTTAACAGTGTGGAAGATTTAACAGAATTTAGAAAGACTGGACACAGGTTGCGCAAAGCGTACAATGCGGAATGCGATGTTTGTTGCTTATGATTGTAGGGGTGAAACGATTAGTTCGAGTAATTCGTTCGAAAATTTCGAACGAACGAGTAGTTCAGGTACTAGTACTAGAGGGGCTGGGGTGAGGGAAACCGTCACTCGGACTCCCCCCAACGCACACTCTACCAACCGTACCCGCACTTCCCAAACATCGACACATGTACACCAGACCTCATCACGCACTGAAACACCACCGGCTGCACCAACCAGATCAACATTGGCTACAACTAGTACAGGTGAATATACGGGAAGCAGTTCGGATGGCTGGGCCGAAGTTGTACGGCGTCGGGTCACGTCCCGGTACATGAAGCCTGTGGCCCCAGCTAACCCCAACATCCTCACAGGCGTAGAAAAAGTCGCGAAATCTGTGTTCTACGTGGGCAATGTCCACATGGAGTGTAGCGCTAACGCAAGCACTGACTGGTGCAAGGACCGTGAGGTTGAGGTGCTCAATTGCAGTATTAGCGAATCCCGGACCTTTGGCACAGCATATGCACGACTGACTGTCCTAGCGACGGATGAATGCAAAATACTCAGTACAGGATTTTGGCCAGCAACAATTAGCCACACCGTCCGTAAGTGGCGCTTTGTCGACGGTACCAACGTGACTGAACGTGGTGGTGATAGTTCCCCATCATAATCATGTTGTCTATGTCTTCCCTCAACTTGCATGCTACCCCATTCTACCCCAGATCAGAATCCGACCTAAAGCTGATAACCATGAATTGTCGGTCTCTCGTCAATAAATTAGCTGAACTTTCGATTGTTCTGGAGAGCACTAAGCCAAGTATCGGTTGCCTCACAGAGACCTGGCTGTGCCCATCTATTTCCGTGCATGTACTGGGCTATTCCTGTTTCAGAAGAGACAGACCAGCACACGAGAACAGAAATGCACACTCTTTCACTAGAGGATATGGTGGTGTCGCTGTGCTTGTCCGGACTGATGCTTTTCAACATATTCTGCACAGACCCGACCTACAGCGTCAGGGCTGTGAATCTGCCTGGGTGGAAGTTAAGTCTCAATGCACCCCTAACCCTATTCTTGTATGTTGTATGTATCGACCCCCTTCCCAATCGGCGGAACAATTGTCCTTCTTCTCGGATATGCTGGTCGATGCTATACAGTCCTCTTGCTATGACGAGTGTGACTTCTTCCTGACGGGGGATTTTAATGCCAAACATAATGATTGGTGCTCTTCTGACTCCACCTCTACAGCCGGTACCAACCTACAGACAGTTTCTTCAATGCTTGGGCTCCAACAACTAGTGAGTTTCCCAACATACACTTCATCAGCAGGTGCCAACTCGTGTCTTGACTTGTTGGTAACCAACAAACCCCGACATGTCCTCTCAGTCGACCACGCAGCTCCTCTTGGCACATCTGATCATCTGCAGGTTGTTTGTACGCTCAACTATGCATCGTGCTCGACACCACAAGCGACTGCTAAATCATCCCTCCATCCCCAGGCTCAGTACAGGTATAAACAAGTGCCTACCCGTGTCTGGCAGGTTGTGAATGAAGACTTATCCAGGTTGGACTGGTCATTACTTCATCGGCATTCTGATGTTGATGATGCCATTGTCCTGTTTGATGCTTTACTACAGTCAGCATTCCATCGTCATCTGTTGCCTTACAAAGTTTTTTCGCGGACAGGAGACTACATTAGGCCTCGTCCTACTATGCGGGATGCATCCCGACCCTGGATCACTCCGGACCTCAAGTGGGCTGTGAAACTGAAGCGAGATTTGTATAGCATTTATAGGAAGTATCCAACCAGTGAAAACTTCATTGCCTTTAAGCGCAAGCGAAACAAAGTGAACTGTTTGTCACGTACCCTCCATCGTCAGGATGTACAGTCGGTTCATGCCACCCTGTCTTCCCATGATCGCCCTAGTCTCCATCAATTTCTCCGCCATCTCCGTAAGAACTGTGGTGGGGAGCCGATCCGATCAATGACAGCTTCAGACGGCCCGGTAGCAACAGATCCCGCAGACATAGCAGACATATTGAACACGCAGTTTACGTCGTTTGGACTTCCTGACGACCCTACGTGGCCTATACCACCACTCACCCCTTCACCCTCAATACCTGCGTCCCTCCTATCATTGTCGACTGGTACAGCCCAAGTGAGGAAATATCTCCGTAATCTGAAAACTGGCAAGTCCCCTGGTCAAGACGGAATTACCAACGAAGTTTGGAGAGCTCTTGCTCCGTCTGTTGCCTATCCTGTGTCAATTATCTTGAATCTGTCATTTCGCGAAGGGAAATTCCCAGCCATGTGGAAAACTGCGGTAGTCGTGGCCACCTACAAAAATAGAGGACCACGCACCACCCCCAGCAACTATCGCCCTATCTCATTGCTCTCTACTTTATCAAAAGTGTGCGAACGTGTTGTATATGACATCATTTATGATCATGTTCGCATTTCACTTTCGCCAGCGCAGTCGGGCTTTTGTCGGGGTGACTCCACCAGGTACCAGGTTACCCGCCTCGTGCAAGACATCCACACCGCCCGGAACGCCCATAACCATGTTGGTTTAGTTTTCTTCGATCTCGCAAAGGCCTTCGACACTGTTTGGCACAGGGGTCTCTTAGCTAAGCTGCGAACAGTATATTGCATTGATGGCAAGGCTATCGGCTGGGTCTCATCGTATCTCTCTAACCGACATCAGCTTGTACGCCTCTCAACTGTGTTATCGGAGCCTTTACCCGTTACTTCTGGAGTCCCCCAGGGTTCAATCCTCGGGCCACTGCTATTTCTCCTGTATATTAATGACCTCCCCGATATTGCCCCTGGTGTCAGCCTTTTCGCTGACGACACAGCTCTGCTTTGCTCCAATGCTTGCCCTATACAACTGCACGAAGCCATGCAAGATAGCATTGGCAAGGTTATAACCTGGATGCATGATTGGAAATTGCAGCCAAACGTTGATAAAACGGCAGCTATGTATATTTCCCCTTCTCCCCCTTCCCTGCCACTTTGTTTTCCTTCTTCAAGTGTTGCTATTCGTATTTTTGAAGAGCATAAGCGACTGGCGTTATTATTGACTCTAAACTGTCGTGGTCATCCCATGTGCAGTATGTCTGCAAGCGCACAAGCTCCATTCTTTGGGCTCTTCAAGCCCACTGTAGACATCTTGTACTTGATCGTTTTTGGGTTTTTTTAGTATTGGCATTTTTAAAAAAAATCATTGTTGTACCGCTAGTTCACTGGTATGCATGCGTAATGCATGCCTTTGAGTCAGTATTTCATGACTTGGACGATGCAAGTAATGTTAGTTAGTTATGAGATACGAAAGTACTGATGAAAATCGTTACTTTACACTCCAGGGCCAAATTGAGGGGCCCTATCCCACCACCCATGGCTGCTTCTGGACTTTTGTTAGGTTGGGATCCCGCGTACGGACAGAATGGGCAAGAGCATGTGAAAAAAATGTAAATGCTTTTTTTGGCTCCTAGGTGGCTCGCACACCGTGGTACTATGCCGCAATTTTGAGTTTTTCCGGCCTGGAAAGCCTGTCAGTGAGGCGCAAGAATTTTTAAATCATGTCCAGAGGGCCAGCATAGTGGCAGGAGTGTGTGGTGAAACATTCACTCAAATCCATTGAGAGACACCAAAGTTACGGTCAATTGAATGCCATAATTATGAAATTTACGACCAGGTTGCTACCTTAACTGGCCCATGACTACTGAATACTGCAAATCATGATTCTTCTCCAATATGATAGCTACCAAATTCTTCATAAAACTGAGACTATAGTACTATGACAAACGTGACAACAACGGTGTAGGGGCTGCACCAAGACGCAGCAGTGATGCTGGGGCATTGATGGCTCTGCCGACCTGAGGTCTTGGCATCACGGCCAAAAACACGCACCAGAGCCAACCCCTGCATTCACTCTTCCCGGATCCATCACAGACCTCACAGTGGTAAAGCAACACAAGCATCTTGGTTTGGTCATTGACTCAGACTTATCGTATATTAGACATGTCGACTATATCTGTAGCAAAGTCAGTAAAGCTGTTGGCTACTTCGTCTCTCACTGCTCCCACCTACCGCTTGAATTCGCCTTTTTATCATTGCTATATTCTCCCCTTTTTTCTCTATTGCTCAACCGCCTGGTCATCCCTACTAAGTAAATCGTTAATGAGTACCCTGGAAGTCCACAGTAAGAGGATGCTGAAAGTCCTTTTCCGCAAACCATCATACTTTCCTTCTGTCGAGCTGCATGATAATTATGTTCACACCTTCTCCATCTCAAGTCAAACGGATCGAAAACTGTGCATTGTTCGTTCATTCCATTCGTCTTGACAAAGCCCCGCCACACTTGCGTAAATATAACTGGTTTCTTCCCACTCGTCCTACACGCAATTCCTGCACTTTGCCTAAAGCCGGAACATCAGCTTATACCAGATCTCCGTTTTTCACTGCCTATTCTCTCTGGCTGGCCCTGCCTCTATCAGTAAAATCGTCTTGTACGCTAAATGATTTCAAGGTCAACATGAGGCTTGAGTTCTAATAACTGCTAATTCTTCATTCAGATTTTGTTTCTCTTTTCCTCGGCCCGTGTAAGTTATTGCCTCCTGCAATTTGTAATTTGTTTGCATTGTTTTGCTTACAGCCCATGGCTGGCTATCGCCCCCCCCCCCCTCCATATTGGCCTATATTCCCTGGTGGTACTATCTTTCGCAACTCTACTGACCGTGCATATGATGTATGTACTGTACGGTTTCTGTACATGTAGGACGGGTACGAACTTACTATCTTTCGGGGGGAACTGTCTTTCGGGGTGATAACCTCGGCAGTGGAAAGTGTATTTTTTTATAAGGGGTACTAAGTCATTGGGGAGAACTTATTTACGGAGAAATACAGTACCAGAACTGTGTATAGGTAATACTCACCTAATCACATGACGGATTGTAATGTGCTGGACTGCCCTTTGTACAGGTGAATCCATTTTCGACATGCTCAATATAAAGGTACCGACTACCACGGTACCTTTGATGCCAGACATGCCAGGTAACAATGGCAAGTATTGAGTGTGTTCATGTTTGGATGATGTGTCTTTCTGTCTGAATCTTCACACATGCCATTAGCAGTGGATGTGAGAGAGGTCTACATGCCCAATATAGACGTGAAAAAAAACAGAGAGGATGAAATTTGCACACAACAAACATGGTGTATTGACGGAGGACGCGAGGTATAATAATATGGTAAGGTACCCTTAGCATTGAGACGATAACGGATAAAGTGAACGTTGAATTTTGCGTCAAATAGAATTTATGCCTTAGCAATCTGACGCTACTTCAACGTGAACCGTTGCCATGGTGGATATGGCAACAGTCCTTGCCAGCCTGGCACGATTCGAAATTTTTCAATTTTTTTCCGAGAAGCGAGTTCTGGAGACCTCCCGCGTTGGCGTTGTTACCTCTCCGGTGCTGGAGGCAGAAGAAGATGAGCTGGCTGGCGAGTGGTGCTGAGCAACAGCAGGCTGTTCCGCTGGGGAACCTGGCGAAAAAACGAGGTCACTCATGATGACAGACAGCTAGTCTAGCTTGACGCGACAACAAGCAAAGTGAAAGCAAAGTGAAAGAGGAAGAGGCCTTTCCTCCACACACGCGTGGCTCAATATTTGAACTTCCGCGGCAGTACAAAAATTATCCCAGGGTCCTGTCAAAACTCACGCATCCAGTAAAAATGCTGATAAAGCAGATATCGTCAAGCCTCACGCTATTTTCGACCAAATAAGGTTTCAACGCAGAACTTTATCATCATTTCCCTGGTCTGGGGTAGATAGCATCGAAAATAGCGTTAGCGTTTTTTTGCTAAGTGTACTTATTATAACAGAGACATGCCCCTCGGAGTACAGATACAACGCGCAGAGTACATTTATGACACATGGAGTACACAATAACGAGAGTTCCCAGATTGCCTAGAGTACTCAACACCACAACGATGGAGCATTGCCACAAAGGCAGAAGAGAACAGAGACAACCGGCTAGTTGATTGCTTTAACGCTGGGTTCATCCTGCACATAGCAAAGCTAAGGCAATCTTCAGACAACTGTTACGTACCTCCTCCCGTACGTTGTACAACCTTTTCAAAGCTGACCTGCATGCGCCCTCGTACTCACCTTTTGTCACCTTTTGTTCCGTTGGCCTGGGTGGCTACTTGCGCGCCCATATTTGCCATAGCTACCCAGGCCCTTTATCTTGCTGCCCTCACTTGATCTCTCTCTCTCTCTTCCATAATGTAGTCGTTTCGTTCGTCTTGGTCTCTGTCTCTTTGTCTCTAAGAAATGTCGTCCCATCTACCAGTTCCCGTTTTCCAAAATGTCTTGGAGAGTAATCGTCCTTTTCGAACTCAACACAACTGATAACCTGCACATCATCTGGGTCCAATATTATACCCAGCCAGATAGCAAAGCAAAGCGCGCAAAGGTAGAAAAGCGCGACATTAGTGTGACATTTCATGTACTTGAGACATGGTGCAGATGGTGTCAGTTTTACAAGGAGGTGAGAATGAGGGAGAGAAGGAGAGTTGACAGTCAGGTTACAGTGACGGTAGGCAAGCCCTGCGCCTGGTGGCGGCAGGCAGGTGACTACTTAAGTCACACCAGTGCCGTAGAGTGAGAGATAGAACTTATTCTAATTACCAAATTAAAGCTACGTGGACCCTGGCTAGCGCCAGACGTCGCTAAGCCTATGACGTAAAATAGCCGCTATGTCGTAATGTGTACTAAATACAGGTACTGCATACATGTAGGTTCCCCTGTCATGAATATTACCCGCGCCCTCCCCTCAGGTGAACTCTGGATCCGCCGCTGCTAAAGTAACGTATTTTGCATAGCTACGGGAATAATAGTGATTAGTACACAGAAGTAGACTTCTCCAGCACAGAAGTCGAAGTCGTTCTCTCCGACTCCAAGCTTCACAGTAATCAATCATCATGCAAGCCACCTGATGGTGACTCAGCTTGAAACTTGGAGGTGTTGTTCTACTTCTGTAATGACAATGCATCATGAAAAGTAACTATGCTCTCTTGCATGAAGGAGTTGCCATCAGCCATTCTTACTTCTATGATGTTTATATTGAATTCAGTTGTTGTGCGATGGATGTGCCAATAGTGCTTACTACATCAAACCGATGCATGTCCTAGGATATTGATGTGTTTGGTGACAGTTTAAACAATTATGGCCATTGTATAACACTCGTTGTTTAAACTTGTTTGAATCTTGCCAACTTGTACACATTCTTCTCCAGCTTCCGTAACCTCTTCATCCGCAGTCACCATAGATCGTAGTAGTTGCATCACAGATACAAGTACATCCATCAACTCCACGCCATCGGCCCGCAGTGAGAATGGTACTGATTCTACAATAACTACATGTATGTCCCGGGTGAACAAGGCGATCATTTATTCCACTCTCGTAACAGCATTGTTAATGACGGAGATCTTTGCAGCCATCACACTGATATACATAACATACCAGGCAAGAAACTAGGTCTTAGTTACAATCGCAATTCCTGCACTTTTGTTCTCTTTTTCTTTATATCCCTTTTTTCCCAGTATCTCATAATAGTCACAAATGTAAGAGTACTCCGTAAATCTTTTGTTGTTTCAGTTGGTCTCATTGTGTTTGTCATATTATGGTATAAAGTGATAAGATAAGTTGCTAAAATATCGCATGTACTTCATCAATGGTAGTTCACGTCTCTTCAAATTGATATGCAGTTCACTGTACCTATTGATACATTGATTGGTACATTGATACGTTCATGCGTTCATAGGATAATCATTTATTTTATTTTATAAAGTTTTGATGTAAAGTGTATTCCAGTTTGGGTTTGAAAAACTATATTTTACACATGCATTTTCCTGATTTCTTCTCCAGTGTATGTTGCACTGCATTTTAATCCATTGATGCTTGTATCACATAATGTTGTTTAAAAGTACATTGCATCTGCGACGTGGGCAGTAGGTATACGCCTCAACCCTCAATGCTCACTTTAGCTACACGATGGTGCAAGACTGCAGGTTGTCCATTTTGAAATTTATCCGTTTTGCATGTTGTTTTTGATACATGCATGCTCTTTTGTACTTGTTTGTAATTGTCCATACTATGCATGCGTGGAGTCAAGACCAGCAAACCATTGATTCATGCTGCGAATTCAAATAAATCAATACAACACAATACACTACAATGCTGTTGCCAGGGAGTCTTGTTGTTGAGATTAGGGAGTCGTCAAATAATGGCACATGTACAGAACTTTGACGACTACATGTACCTGGTAGAGTTTAAACACTTACCGGTAAAAGAGAAATTTGGCAGACACCTGATTTTAGCACACACATGATGTAAGCAGGAGATGGTGTATGCAGTCATTGTTCACAAGTGCAATCCCAGAAAACAGTTTGGAAAGCGAGGTGTTGGCAGCGCTTCAGACAAAAAAAGGAAGAGCACAAATGATTGAATTGAACACGATGTATCCAGGCATTGCAAGTAATTCCGTTGCCGGATCTTGGCAATAGTGAATCCACCAATCAAGCTGTAGCATTTTTTACGCAAAGAGAGATTGTGTGCCGAAAGCAGTATGTTAAACGTAATCTGCTCAGCTTTACTTTAAAACAGCAAGGATGTTGCAAATCGAAACAGGTGTAAGTCAAAACAATGGAGTGTTACATGTAAACATTGAACAATGGGAGGAAGAAGGAGGGTAGATGCTGCCTTAGAAAGACGATAGGAGAAATCAAAAACTTTATGAACAACCACAGTGTAGACATTTTCGGCATTGCTGAAACTTGGCTTGATAGTACGTTTTCTGACTCATCCATTCATATACCTCATTATAGACTCTTTAGGCGCGATCGCGGGCACAGCCCCGCTCCCTCATCGCAACGTGGAATCAGCTCCCACCTACCCTTCTGCAGTCTCCCCCTTCTCGCAGAGGCATGCACACGTTCAAGAAAAACGTCAACGACCACTTGCGGCGCAGCAAGTGGGAGTGGGCCACAGACAGGCTATGATCTCTGCCAACACACCAGCCTAATTATACTGACCGCACTCCAGCTCCCTTCTACCCCTCTTTGATCCCCTTCGCTCAGCCTTAAAATCCGATTATCAGTTCACTCCATCTTCCTACGGTGCACTGCTTTTACTATTGTTTTGTCCTATCCCAATCTCAAATTCTCCCCATTATCGTTTGCAAAGCCGGTGCTCCCCTCTTGGATGCACATGTTTCTTTTCTCCTATGTATCGGCGCACAGGAGTAACGATGATTCCGAGACCTTTGGTCGGAGGAGTTACTTTTGCCCCGCCCCCACTTCCATCCAATATGCCACCGCCCCCGCTGTGCAGCATCTGATGGTACTGTGGTATTCAGTAAAAAAACAAAAAACAAAAAACAGACCTGGTGGCGGTATAGCTGTATACCGTATTTTCCGGGGTATAAGCCGCACTTTTTTCGATAAAAATCGGACCAAAATTGCCCCTGCGGCTTATACACCGAATATGCTTGCGCGAATGAATGCTTAGCATACATCAGTATGCATGCTGACGTCATGTGACATGTCATTCGACTCAGCTTCAGGCCTGTGTTGCTGATCAACATCAGTGGCAGCGAGACTGAAGATAGTGCAGATGACATGGAGTGATCTGTACTACTGTAGTCAACACAGCAATACACCAACATCTCTGCAGCAACCTGTGGTCCACTAACACTTCATAATCTGATCTTACATGGTATTTAGCTCCCTAACCATAATAAATTTGTAGAAAGGCCATTTGTCAATGAGTGTGAAAATCTTGGTTGTGGGTGCGGCTTATACTCCGAATACCAACTTTTAGTCAATATTTTGCCTCAAAAAGGGGGGTGCGGCTTATACCCCGGTGCGGCTTATACCCCGGAAAATACGGTAAGTAAATTATCGTGTCCGTTCCCGAAGGGAACTCACGACGGCCGCTAACACCCAATAAACCCTAGCGGCAGATGCAGCGCCTACACAACCGCTGGCACAAGTGCCGAGCAACCCCATTAGCTGCATCCATGCACCCCTTGTGCCTGGCCACAAGTTCCCAGTTGACTGTGGGTAGCAGCGCGGCTGGAAAAACCGCTCCCAGGCAGGACTTGAACACCAGGTACCTCTCGTATCTCAATCATGGTCTTTGACCAACCCACTGTGCCTGCCTGGTTATGGCTGTATACAGTCGAGATACCCTGGCTGTTTCCAGACACGCTGAACTCGAGAGTGAAACAATCGAAAATCTGATCCACACCTTGAAGACAGAGAATCCGGTGAACCCATCACCCTCGCTACGTTCTACCTTCCACCTTCCACTTCTGCTGCAGTATGGCAAGACCTAGAAGTCAGTCTGAACAATCTAAGCTTGCGAAGTAGCAACGGCGTGGTCGCCATAGGTGACTTCAAGACATGTGCGCGGGAGGCAGTCGTATGCACACCATGCTTCAGCGGTTTGATCTGGAAAACCACATCCAGACACCGACAAGAGTAACGGAATTGAGTTCCACCCTAATAGATCTTCTCCTCGCCCCTCAGTCTCTATTTGGAACGTACAAGGTCCTCCAGTGTGACGTCAGCGATCACTACGCATTTGTGGCCAACATTATTGTCGTCACCCGGCAGTCCGAAGAGTTGAATCTCGAAAGAGGCGAGTGTGGAGGAAAAACTGCGAGCACTTTAAGACTTGCAGGACTGCAATCTTGAGATCTTCAGTGAGTCGAATGATGTTGATGCAATGATAAGCGAGCCGAATAGGCGAAAAACAGGCCGATTTTGGGAAAGTCTAGCACCAGCCGTCCAGCAGGTTCTTGTGAATAATCTGGAACATCAGGTGATTGAGCCTTTCCTCGAGAGTTGTACTGCGTAAGTAGGACTTGACCCTCCGCATGGTTGAAAACGAGCTTCCTCTTCCTTTTTTCCTTTTTTTTTGGCGTCACATTGGTCCGGCGGCCGCCAGACCTGCCGGACCTGTTCCTACGCCCCTGGCGCCGAATGGTACTCAAGGGTATTTACTGATCTAGATCGTAACGCCCCATTAAAAAAAAAATTTTCTGTAGTCGTTGACGAGTGTGGTTGCGAGTTTTTTACGTCTGACGTCTTGCTCCCCCAACCGGGAGCATGGCGTCCATTGACTTCGGAATTTTGGATAGTGAAGGCTTGGAGTCACTGGCAAAGGCCAATAACGTCAAATGGGCCGGCCTGAGCCGAGTGCAATTGGTAGGCGCCCTGAGGGGAACGTTGCAACCACTGGACGATCAGATCGACACACACAGGGTCACAAAGCAGGCAGGAGGATGTGAATGTACCAGTACTGATGCTACTGCGCTAACGAAGATAATGGTTGACCTGATGGAGACGGTCCGAAACCTGGTAGCAGAAGTTTCCGACCTACGAAAAATCTCTCTAGAAAAGGAGAAAGGAAAAGATGCCGCCATTGCAGAACTCAGGGAGGAGCTTCGCGCCCTGACACAACACCACCAGCCCATCGATGTCTCTAATCGCGCCCTCGACAGCCTCCAGGATGAGTACTCGTACCGAGCAGCTACAAACATTCCCGCCACGGGTGTACCAGTACCCGCATCTGCACCAACAGGGCTTGAATCCGCAGCTCCGGGCGAGACGTACGCTAGTCGTACCCTCTCTGCACCACGAACAAGCAACGCCAGTCGTACTACTGACAAGCCTGTCAGTACCAAGTACGACTGGTCGATCGTACGTGAAGCCGCCAACCGCCAAAGGAAGCCCGCAGATCTGCGTGGAGGTAAGAAAATAGCACGCAGAGTTGTATTCGTTGGGGGCATCAATATCAACTGCAGTGCTGATGATCTTGTTGCGTACTGTAGAAAGAAGAATGTGGAAGTTACTGGCTGTAGACTGATCCCCTCCAGAACAGTGTACGGCACGTTGTACGCACATCTGACAGTTGCTGAGCATGACGAAAGAAATGTTCTGGAAAACGAGTTCTGGCCCGAGCATGTAACAGCACGAGAATGGAAGTTCAAGAACCCACCCCTCCCCAAGAAATCATAAACTGTGATGTTGAATCCACACGCACCCATCTTTTTTCCCACATCACCACACGCTTTTACTCTTAACCCAAATGCAGCCCCGTTCTCTCCCGGCCGACAATCGCAAGTGAGCGCACTGAACCCTCTTGCTCCACCATTCCAACCGCCCCCTTTGACTTTCAACTTTTCACCTTGTATTCCTGATATGAAGTCTCCGTCGAGTATCAGGATCTGCACAGTTAACGCATGCAGCTGGCTGAAGCGGGCTGATGAGATTAAAAACTTATTCTGCACATCTCAACTAGATATCTTGGGCATAACTGAAACCTGGTTGACTCCTGATATCACAAGTTCAATATTAACACCATCAGCTGAATACAAAATTATCCGGCATGACCGTCACAACAATACCGTGCGACGTGGAGGTGGAGTGGCATTCCTCCTCCACCCTTCCATTTCCCATGCTACCAAACATCGTCCAGATCTTCAGCCTGCTGATCCAACCATTGAAATTGTGTGCATAGAACTAGAGCATCGCCCCAACTCCACGTTTGTGTTCTGTTGTTACCGTCCTCCTTGGCAGCCACCTGATCAGTTCTGCAGCGCACTCCGGACCTGCATTCAATCAATATCTTGTCCTCAAGCTTCCATATTTGTCATTGGCGACTTTAACGCTCGCCTCTCGAAATGGCTAGCATCCGATCCTGATACACCTGCTGGTACATGCATGTATGACACCCTGGATGATCTGGGCTTATCGCAACTTGTGGATCAACAGCCTACCCGCTACTCCGCAAGTGGTAAGAGTTCATCACTACTCGACCTAGTTATCACTAATGCTCCAATAGCAGTCTCCCATCTCACCATCCTCCCACCGGTATCTGATCACTGTCCTGTAGTTTTCGATGTCGTCCACAACCGATCAGCAGGCTCCACAGCCCAAATATCTTCTGCACAAAACACCTGGCTCGACTTTGCCCACACGGACTGGCAAGCATTTAACAACCACGTGTGGCAACTACCCTTGCTAGATGCCGTCCAAAATGCGCAAACAGTTGATGAGGCCTGGTCATTGTGGCGCACAGCGCTGGAAGACTCTGTATCGTTGTTTGTTCCCGTTGTCCGGAGAAGCACATTTCCATCGAACAAGCCTTGGT